GCAACTAGGATGATAAAGGGACTGGAGCACCTCCCCTACGAGGAAAGGCTGAGAGAGTTGGGCTTGTTCAGCCTGAAGAAGAGAAGACTGAGAGGGGACCTTATCAACACATACAAATATCTTAAGGGCGGAAGTCACGAGGATGGAAGCAGTCTGTTTGCAGTGGTGTCCAGCGACAGGACTAGGGGCAATGGGTGCAAACTGAAACATAAGAGGTTTCAGTTGAATATGAGGAAAAACTTCTTTACTCTAAGGGTGACAGAGCACTGGAGCAGGCTGCCCAGGGAGATTGTGGAGTCTCCTTCTCTGGAGATATTCAAAGCCCGCCTGGATGAAGTCCTGTGTAGATTGCTCTAGGAGAGCCTGCTTTAGCAGGGGGGTTGGACTAGATGATCTCCCGAGGTCCCTTCCAACCCTTGCGATTCTGTGATTCTGTGATTCTGTGAATACCTATTCCTGGGTGCTATGGGAACAACTGTTATATGGGATGCCTCACATACATACGGTGGTTTTTATCCCATTGGATGCAAAGCGGTTAGTCTCCTCGAGCTTGGGGAAGAGTGGCTGGAGAGCTGCCCGCTGGAAAAGGCCCCGGGGGTGTTGGTCAACAGGCAGCTGGATATGAGCCAGCAGGGTGCCCAGGTGGCCAAGAGAGCCAGGACCATCCCGGCTTTTACCACTTTCCAAAAACAGCTGAAGTCCCCAGCTTCACCCTGCTCTGCACAAGTTATAATGTTGGCTCAAACTACTAAATCTATTTAACCCATGTCAATATGTCCATTGAACTGAAGCTCCCCTGAAAGGGGTGTAGCAAGGTGGGTGTTGGTCTCTGCTCCCAGGGAACAGGCAATGGGACTAGGGTAAACGGCCTCAAGTTGTGCCAGGGCAGGTTTAGGTTGGACATTGGGAAAAATTCCTTCCCCGCAAGGGCTGTCAGGCCCTGCAAGGGGCTGCCCAGAGAAGGGGTCAAGTCCTCACCCCTGGGGGGATTTAACAGCCGGGCAGAGGCGGTGCTGAGGGCCAGGGTTTGGGCGTGGGACGGCAGGGTTAGGGTAATGGTTGGACTTGATGAGCTTAAAGGTATTTTCCAACGTAAATGATTCTATGATTCTATGATTCTAAGCTACTCAATAAAACTTAAGAATAGCCAGATTCTCGTGGTTGAGAGTTCATGCTGCTATGTTATAAAGCATCTGGAGGTAGGAAATGCCACTCCAGGTTGTGTAAGCCAGTGTCAAGTCTCTAATGGTGGCCTGCAGGAGATGTTGGAGTGTAAGAAAGAAATTGTGTATCTGTTCTCCTGCATGCCACCCGCTTCTGCTCAAAACGTCTGGTATACTTAAAAATGAGCTTTCAATTCAACACATGAGCACATGCTTCAGTGCTTTGCTGTTAAATGGTTGATGAGGAAATGTGTTAAATGTGGCACCTTAAACTACATCAGGATCATTTAAACAAGGGTGTAAAGTGGAGGAGCTTGTTAACAGCACTGGGAAATGCTGCAAGTTAACAAATTGGGCTTGTGAACAAAGAAGAATGGATCATATTGAAACTACTAAGATAACCATTTGCAATCAGGCCCTGAAAAACATCCCCAACCACATGGGTGTCGAACGCTGATTCTGCTTTTCTGTAGAGATTTTAGGCTAGGACTTAGGAATCCCTAAATAGGTGCAAAACTGGGAAAAAAAATCCTGAAAGGAGGGCAAAGCATTTTCTGCTCACCACTGCAATTATAGTTAGCACTACCATGCACTGAAAGAAAATCTCTTTAACCAAAAGTCCTCAAGTACCTTGTGCAGGAATGAGCTACGTTCTCCCTGAAGGACAGGAGAGGCATTCTGGATGGTCCCTCAGGGGAGAGATGAAAGAAATAGCCATACCCAGCAGCACACACTGTGTTACCCTGCAGAGAAACATATATGGCTGTGAAAAAAAGATTACCACAGATTTCTGTAAATTAAAATAATCTTAAGAAAATCTCAGATTAAAATCCCAACCAAGGTCCATTCAAATTCTGGTAAATCTGGCTGGTAAATGCGGGTACTTTGTCTCTGCATCCTCATTCTCATCCTGTTTTTACTCTGTCCTTGGGCCAGCCTTTAAAAAACCTGTTCCTAAGCCAGGCAACAAGGGCTGGCCAAGCAATAGAAACAAATGACAGAAAAATGCTATTGCCATAATTCTTCAAGAAGTAGGTAAGAAAAAAAAAATGTGTGGAAAACGTCTTACCCCTATAAAATGCTTTCTAAGGAGGAAGGCGATGTCACGAAAGAAAGGTAAATCACAGCCTATTCAGTTTATTGATCTACTTCTCAATCTGTATCTTTCTCATATCTCTCAAAGCAAATATAGCAAAAGGAAATGACATTGGCACAAAAAAAGTGGGACCTTGTAACAGTCAAGAGAAAAGAGAGAATGACTTCTTCAGGATATGTCAGTGGCTGAACAACTAAACTTACTCAGACCTGTGGTAAATTACTTGGTTTGGATTCTTTTTAACTGGATAAGTGGATAACCATGGGAAAATGTGCTGTAAGTTACTGTCACTTAATATCTCTTAATGAAGAAATTCTGGAGTCGCATTCTTTGTATTATTGCAGGAGGTGAAAAGTAAGTGAAAATAAGGTTTGCATGGTCTTAAATTAGGAGTTTGGTACTACAGAGCCTGTAGAAAGTGGGTTATGTGGCTTATATATGGTGGGTTAGGAGCTTTCCTACTCTAGGGAAAAAACCACTGCTCTTACCTGCTTCATTTGGACAGCAGCCAAACCTAGATGGTTTTGGATGGTGTCCATACAGCAATGTTTTCATGGGCACATCTGGGCATGATCCCTCTCACCCATCTTAGATGTGTAAAAATTTGATGCTGAAGTCCAGGCTGGTAAACCTAGGCTCCCTTTCCAGGAAAAAATAAGACATAGGCATGTCCAGAGGGCAATTCTTCTGGTCTATCTTTAGATAAGATTAATTGCTCTCTGGAGGTATCTGGTTCTCTAAGGGGAGTCTAAGATGAGCTTTCCTGCAGCTACAAGAGCTTGTTCTCTAAGATCAGGGCCGACACCCACCACTACCTTTCATAGGTCACCGGACAGTGTTAAAACACTAATGGCTTTTTCGTCCCTGATGGTCCAAATCAAAGCCAGGCCTGGTGACCTAGAGGTGAAAGCCTCCACACACCAATTACTTTCTTCTGACCCACCCAAGTGTGTTCCCTGCAGTCGTGATCTTTGACATCTGTCAAGCAACAAAGAAGTATCAATACCCAAAGCACTGCTTTCTCTATCCCCTGGTAAAACTGCTGCTTTTTCTGAAAGCACAGCCACAGACCCTTTCCCTTTAATGAAATACTTCTGCAGTCCAGTCACATTATTTCCAGGATCTTTTACTTGCGACTCCAATCGTGCGTTCTACAGATGATTCATAAGGAAAAAACCTGCATATTTATTCAGCCAGCTAGTGGCTGGAGGGCAGGGGGTTTAGGCAAGCAGGGAATTTTGTGTGGAAATCAATTCTTTGTGGAAGTCAGTATATTACGAATGTCCGTGCAACCAAAATTCCAGAGAGAAATTACCTCCCTGAGCATGCCAAATACCTGGAGGTATGCATCACAAGTCAGTAAAATAAAGTGGTTGACGTTTTAAGTGTCTCTTAACCGTACAACACTGCTAATGTAAATATTTCATGAATTTCTTTAGATACCCAGGGCTCAAACTGTTGACCTTAAAGATGACATTAAAGCTCCAGAGAGTGTGCCCAGCACCACTTCCCCGGTTTCAGAACCTGGCAGGATGCAAAGAGTATCTCCAATGGGCTCAGTTCAGCATGTGCTCACCTTGCAGAAGCTTTTAGAAAAGATCTCAGTAGGGATGAAATGGTGAGAAACAATCAATGCCAAACAGAAGCTGCCTCACCTTTTTGGTACTGTGGAGAATGGCTGGGTTGGGTGATACTAGGAAACAACTTCATTTCTCAACAGTCTGACCATCAGTCACATGGAAATACAGGCTTATCTCCACCCTGTTCATTCATTTAAGCTGTTTCCCAGTCCTTAATGCCAAGGCAAGAAAGGAAAGGGAGGATATCTATTGAATTTCTTAAACCCAGTCTGTACGTTATGTATGAGCAGTGCATGCTGGCTCTGGGATTTAATGGCATCAAATGTTTATCAATAGGAAGTTATTACAAACGGTCCAAGACCCACTGGGCCCAAGAGATCCAAGAGAAGATTAAAAAACTGCTTTCTTTTTCCTGCATACAAAAATAAACCCAGGAACATCAGGCATGCAATTCAGTGACAAAAGAGTCAATACCAAAGAGGGGCACCTTCAGTTCCTCATGCTGATAACATTTAAAAGGCAAGAAACCAGCCTAATGAAATTGTCTTATGGCACTAAAAGGTGATAACGAGGGCTTCCATACTTTATTTTAAAAAAGAAAAAAAAAAAACACCACAAAACCCCTAGCTTTTAATAATCATTTGCACTTGTATGATGTGAGTATAAAATTTTAGCTAACACCCTGATTCACAAATGCGCTTAAGAGCTTCAGTGAAATGGAAACCAGTGGGAACTGGTTCTCCGAATGTCTTTGTAGGCACAGGTTTGAATGACTGCTGTGTCCCAATTTTAACACCATTTAGGAGACCACTGATTTTCAAGGAAATTTAAGCTCTTCAGTCACCGATGCAAATTTAGGCTCCCAAGTAAATTGAGTAGTTATGAAAATATTATTGCAGGACTTACTGTGGAAAGCTTGACCCATGTAACACAGTATGGACCTAGAGCTCTCTATCTTAGCTGTAATCCTTGCCTTAAAGATTGCAGCCTGTAAGTTTAAAAAGTTGAAAGATGGTAACCTAAAACAAAAAACAAACAAGCAAAAAAAAAAAAAGACAACCACCTAACATTCAAATCCAGAGGGGGAAATTTCTATTCCATGTCATGGCCTGGAAACCTGGCAGTGGGAAGATGGTTCTTTCCCATTATACTCTTCAAACCTCCCTATTAAAGATTATAGACACCTAAAATTAAATATCCAGTACTTGAGCCATTTGATCAGATAAAAGTTGCTGAAACTGTAACATCATGCATTTAGCGATTACTACCATACTGAGAAAAAAGTCCACAGGACACAGGTGTTTTGCTTGGTAAAAGTGTGACTTTTGTCTTAATATCCACGTCCTTTCATGTCTTCTGCTGAACACTGCTTGGTACTGTAGAACAGAAAGTGCAGTTAATAATAATTTTAAGCTAAGCAACTTCTTCATATTTTCCTTTTGCTGCTGCAATGCCTCAGATAGCCCACTCCGAGAGACTGCCGACTGAAGTTTATCAGCAACCCTTCAAGGGCCATCGGCTATTCTGCCTTGAGTAACACATCTTTGGAGAGCGGACTTAACCCTGATGTTCGGGTACACAGCCAGAGACGCAGCTTTGGGCGTATCTACAAAGCCATGTGAACCAAGAGACCTAAACAAATGTGCTGAAAACCAACCACAGTCAGTTCACACGTACCCGTGGAGATAATTGCAGCAAACCTTTTCAAAAGCTGAGCCACCGGCGACTGAGTAGACAGCTCCAGGGTAAGTCAGTGCATGATAGTACAAAACTCTGTGTTTAGTGGAGCTGAAATTCATGTGATTCTGCCTAGTTGTTGTATTTTTTAACCATATTTGATGGTCTTTAAAATGATAAATATGCCCTTGAGGGAATTGCAGAAAAGTCCTCTCCTTCTTCCTAAGTATTATTGTCTTCATACTAACATAGGAACTGCATTGGTCTCTTTTTCACCTTCAAATTTAGGTGCAATTCTTTCCTCTTGGAACAGAAGCCCAGGGGGCGATTAGGTCTTCACATACACATAATAATTTGTTTGGTTTCTGCAGGTTGGCAATAGAACAGGTCAAGATTTTTTGTTTTAAATGAAATTGTGCATTTGTCACAACTGAAACTGTGGTAAGAAAGGTCAGTTTCAATGAAATTCCAGACTTAAAAGAGTTGGGAAAGAAAAATGGTTTGAAATTGCTTAATCAATGAAATTCTTATTTTTTTTCCATGAAACACTTAAAAGTTACTCTTTATTCTGAAATGTAAGTACTTGAATAAGACCAAAAAAAAAGTATGAACTAAAGGAAAGCATCAGAGAAATAGTGAATAAAAAGATTTTTACTGAGCTCAACTTTTTAATGTGAGGGTTGTTAGTCTGTTACCTTCTTAAGAGTTCGATGTTTATTGGTTTCTTTTAAAATCAATGTCATTTTCATAGGACAGGGAATGCATTTTGCTTCTCACCCTGAATATCACTATTTAGAATAGAGAAGCTTGGTTTCTTTTAAAGTCAATGTCATTTTCACAGGACAGGGAATGCATTTTGCTTCTCACCCTGAATGCAAATCTTGGACTGTACATACGATGACATTTTAAATCCAGAGAGAGGTGCATTTGATATTGCTGAATTGTAGAATCATAGAATCATTTAGGTTGGAAAAGACCTTTAAGATCATCAAGCCCAACCATCACCCTAACCCTGCCATCCCACCACTAAACCCTGGCCCTAAGCACCTCGTCTGCCCAGCTTTTAAATCCCCCCAGGGATGGGGACTTGACCCCTTCCCTGAGCAGCCCCTTCCAGTGCTTGACAGCCCTTTTGGGGAAGGAATTTTTCCTGATGTCCAACCTAACCCTGCCCTGGCACAACTTGAGGCCATTTCCCCTTGTCCTATCACCCAAATGGTGTGTTTGTCATCAGTCCATCAGAATTGTCTTTTTTTTTTTTAATAATGACAGGAGTAGGAAAAAATTTGGAGGAAGTTGAACCTACACTTTTTTCCAGTTTTTATGAATCCATGAGTATTAAGAAATAAAAAAAACTTTTTAAAATATCCCAGGCTAAAGGATCTCACAGCAATATTTCATTCCAATCAACTGCAGTAAAATTTTCAGAAACAATGAATTTGCCCATGAATGTAATTTCTTTTGTAATATGTGCTTGTTTTAATGTCCCATCACAAGCACAGTTTCTGACAGCTCAGCCAAGAAGCAAATGTTGCGTGTATGATCTCTCAGGTAAATGAACTCTGCATCTTTCTGATATCGTTGATTAGAAAGGAAACATTTTACCTGAAATTCTTACCTCGATGTGGTTGGCAGGAGCCCTGATGTAGATCCCTGCTGGTGACAGTGTCTCAATGTTGGATAAACCATCTGTTCCAGAAAGGCCAATCACTATGTTGTTACTGACTCTGTTCCCCTCTTCCAGTCCCTCCCCTTTAAAAAAAAAAAAAAAAGAAAGAACATAAGAAAAAAGAAAATAAGAAAAAAAAAATGAAAAAAGAAATTTAAAAAGAGGAAAAAAAGGGGGAAAAAAGGAAATAGAAATAATGGAAATATAGCTGGAAACCCTCTATTATGCAAGTCACAGAACTTTCTGGGGTTTGTCCTGCCTGCTTTGCTGGCATGGCCCGGCTAGGAATTAACTTTCCCTGCTAACTGTCCTCAGGCAAATCACTGTTTGAAAAGCACTTAGAGACCTGTGTTTAACAGATGGCAGAAGCTGGTTATAAGGCGGTCAAAGACCGCCATGACTGCTCAACACAGTGGTGCAGAGCATGGAAAGGGGAAAGCTGTGTGCTTGAGAAATGTCAGGAGGCCACAAGCAAGATCTGGTCAACGTTGTAAATATGATTTAAAAAAAACAGTTTCTGCCACAAAGCTCTTATACTTTAATGAGGTAAAAACAATCAGGGAAATGAGTATTACAATACATATTCTACAAAGAGGCAATGGAGACCATGCTTCTGCAATTCATAGAATCATAGAATCATAAAATCATTTAGGTTGGAAAAGCCCTTTATGATCTTCCAGTCCAACCATTACCCTAACCCTGCCATCCCACCACTAAACCCTGGCCCTAAGCACCTCCTCTGCCCGGCTTTTAAATCCCTCTGGGGATGGGGACTCCATCACTTCCCTGGGCAACCCGTTCCAATTGCTTCTGCAATTCAATATGCACAAGATCCTGTTCCAGGTGTTATATATGAATATAACACCAGCCACATTGTTAATCTCCCAGATTTATGGAGAAAACGAATAAAGGGAATATTATAAAGCACATTTACAGTTGGAAAAAAAAAGATTCAGAGTGGGGAAGTGGCTCCCCTATGCACACACAGGCATGCTTCTGGCAGTACTAGAATTCAAAGTCCTATCTATCTCCTGTGTCTCCACCCACTGCCCTACTTACATGTAAGAAAATTTCTAAATAGACTTAAAAACACCTGGTGTAACTGTGCAAAAAAAAGGGAGGGGAGGTGGGGTGGGGGTTGGGCCCCTAAGCAATGAAGTATGAGAAGAAAAAGGAAAAATCAATCAAAAAATTGATCACACAACTCAGAGTCATGGGGTGCCACAGATCTAGCAACAGTGTTGAAGTAGGAAGAAAAAAAAAAAAAAAAAAAGAAATATCCTTTTAAACTACACCATGAAGAAATGTGCCACCCAACAGCAAAAAGCGGACAGTTGCACACAGGTCAAGCCTGAATAAGGACACATCAGCATATGTCCTCCTGCTTCGGTGTTTTGGAAGCAGAACACAAAGTGGATCATCTCTGCTTGGCCCACATCAGGAGCAAATTCAGTCTATTTATTTTTGCTTATCAAACATAAATTATTATCTTCAACTATACCTGCTCAAGTTCTGTTTCAAATGCAGATCTCCTCCTCAATCATCACCACCCCAAATGTAAGCCACTTGCCAGGAAAACCCATGTGCTTTGGTTTTGGGGATGGCAGTAATTATTTTAAACCTTCCTCTCAGTCTCTTGAGCCTTTCTCCATTTTTGGAACAAGATCCATTTAGGAAATATTTCTTTTCCAGTCTGTATTTACCACAACGCCACTACCAGAGCATGAACAGGATCCTAAAGCAGTCCTTTTGACAGCCATATAGGTTTTCGAGGTTGCATAAAAGGTCTTGGTGTGTCAATTAATTTTAAGCCCAGAGCGAAATTTTATGACTGTCTGGCAAAGCCCCGGAACATAAGGGGTTTAGATGAAATCACTGAGGGAGTCCAATTCTAGAGCTGCAAATAGCCAGCTATAATAAATATTCCTTCACAGGCAACAAAATGATATATAAATTCATCCATCAGACCCTCTGGAGCTGCTGACAGTGAAGCCA